GGGGGGGGGGGGGTTCCCTGTTCTATGATGAAATTCAATTTTGATTCATTGGTGATAATAATCTATTTCACCACAGGATGCATATGATTTTAGTCCTGTGAAATATGCACATAACAGACCCCTCCAAGCTTAATAATGTCATATTTTTGTAGGTATATAACTTGGAGATGGGAAAACGTGGAAACTTTTAAATAGATACTGCACTTTCATTAGTTGCAGTTAGCATATGTGTCTGTATATGTGAATGTCATTGACTTAACCAACTTTAGTGGGCAATTTGTCATCTTGTTAAGATTAATTCTTTAGTCTTTTGTGGTTTTCAGGCATTATCTGTTGGACTTGATGAGAGTCACTCCTCGTGATGCAAATTATAGTGGTCCAGGTTCCAGATTTTGTATTTTGCGACCTGAATTGATAACTGCGTTTTGCCAAGTGAGACCTGCTTGTGCTATGACTTGCTCTCATATTTTCATTTGTGTTCAATTCTTATATTTATCTTGGTTTTTATATTTGCTCCGGATCTGCAAACCTGATTTTTTGTGTTCGGGTTGCTTTTGTACTTGGATCTGATTTCTGACACTTTGCTCTCAAAAAATTATTTTGGTTCTTTCCCAAGGCTGAAGTTGCTGAGAGGTCAAAATCGAAGTGCGAGTCAGAGGGGGAGGTACCAGTGGCCTCTGATTCTTCAACAGTAAATAACACTGAAGAATTACAAACAACCGATGGTGTTGCCCCAGCTGAAGTCGACAGCAATAAGGTAGCAATCTCCTACTTAAATGAAGTCTGTCCTCTTACTGCAAACATTTTTTTTTGTCTAGGTTATAACGAGATGGAATTTGTTGTTGAAAGTCAATTCCTTGTGGTAACAATTACTGCAGTTGCGCACTACTGTTGGATATAAGTTTGCTTGTTTACTTGCGACCAATTTTGTGTTGGATAATATAGTTTCATAGTATTTCTTGAACAATACGCTCTTCTTGAAAGATATTTCTTTTATAATATGATTTGCGAGATTTTAAAGTTCTATTTTATGTTCTCACCTTGGTTGTTAATGATGTATTCCTTTTTATAATTGCTTTCAACTCTCCCTGATTTTAGATTCACGTTTAGATGAATGCATGTCCCAAGTTATGTGAGCATTATCACTTTGCAGTATCTTGTGTTGCCTTTTCTGTTCCCTATCTCTTTTCCTCTTTACTTTGATTTGTCATTTTCAGTCTAAGTGTCTGTACAAAAAAGGTCTACCTGTCTGTTACTTCCAAAAGTGCTCTAGTTGATTCATCTTCTTGTACCTTGTTAGTTTTTTTTCTGAAATTAGGATATAAATTTCATGTACACTGATGATTCAAAGCATTAACTGGTGATGGATTCTTTATATTCAATCCGCGATAATTGTGGTATTAGTATCATGCTCGGGCGTTGATATATTTGTGAACTTCGGAGGATATCAATCTGGAGATTCTATGAGTTCTTTTTAAAGGAAAATACCTACAAATATGATTTTTTCCCTCAAGAGGGAATCAATGCAAACACTTTTGTACGAAGAAGCGTTTGCTCTTGCTATTCAGTTATATAAGATATAACCTCTTTTTTCTCTTATTTAGGGAGAAAAAAGTGTGAAGGATGCTGGTAACAATTGCTGTTCTCACTCGGGAAGAACGGATACTGAGGATATACTTTTCAATCCTAACGTCTTTACAGATTTTAAGTTGGCAGGGAGTGAAGAGGTTATTTTTTTTGCCTGTGATTATTGTTCTCTGCTTAGTTTTTAGAAGGTGCTTTGTATTTATAAGGTCCATTCTCCCAACTTCACCAGGAGATAGTTGCTGACCAAGAACTTGTGAAGAAAGTGAGTTTGTATCTGAAAGACACTGTGCTTCCGAAGTTTATTCAAGATCTCTGCACACTTGAAGTTTCACCCATGGATGGGCAAACTTTAACTGAGGCACTCCATGCGCATGGAATTAATTTGCGCTATCTGGGAAAAGTAATGATCTCCTGACAAGCTCCGTTAATTCTCATATTGCTTAGATTTTCCACTAAATATAAGAAAATTTTGTAGTATGAGTTGAACTCTAACTTCAGTTAAAGTAGTAAGCTTGGCTTTGTCTTCTCCCTTTTTTTCCAGGTGGCTGAGGGGACCAGGAACTTGCCTCATTTATGGGATCTTTGTTCCAATGAGATTGTTGTCAGATGTGCGAAGCACATTCTCAAGGTGATTGATTTTTGATTGCTTTTGATTAAAAAAAATGTTTTTCATCGCCAGTTGAAAGGCTGCAATAAGATTGAACTATAAACCTACTAAATCTTATGCTTTGACAACTATTGTCCCACTTGAGAACATGCTCCATCTTTTGAGATTGAACAAAATTTTAGTGGTTTTCTGAGAGGTTAAGTTTTTTTTTTGTTTCTCCTGTCATGTCTCAACATTTTGGCTTAGCATTATAAGTGGAGAAGTGAAGGGGATGTTTCTTTTTACCTGCCTTTATTTCTTTATTACTGGGCAAAAGCTTTTTAATCTACAGAGGGGAACTCGTTTTACTTAGGCTCTGGTGGTTCAAAATAGTCATTTGTGCTTATCCACTTGGTGGGTAAGATAGAAGCACTTTAATCACTCTGATTATCTTGATACATAGAAGAAGTTGAAATTCTATTTTATAGGTTTCTGGAGTTTGTAATTTCTTACCATTTGATCTGATGGGACATGCAGGATGTGCTGAGGGATGCTGAGGACCATGATCTTGCAAACACAATCTCACATTTTTGCAACTGTTTGTTAGGAAATATTCAAACTGTATCTAATAAAGGTGGCTCCAACAGTGCACTTTCTAAAAACCAAAAGAAGGTACAGAGAAAGAGAGAGATGATTGTCATTACTCCCTATGGCTATTTATTGCTACTTCCTTTAGTAAGATATCATGTGGAAGTTCTATTGAATTGAGTTTACCATCTACTAAACCTTTTAAAGAGGGGATAGTTTTATTTATTTATTTTAGGTTTACAACATGGGCCCTCAAGTGCTGATTTGATTCTTTTGCTTGAGAAATATTTTGTTGATACTGTGAACTTCTCTAATACCATGTTGAATTATGTGGTTCCGCCTCATCTAAAAGTTTGAGCTATTTAAGTGGGATTTCCTTTTTTTTTTAACAAGTCCATGCTTTGCCATTATTATTTACTTGTATGCTAATATTTGGAGGAGCAATATGGAAATTACTAGTTTAATTGTCTAAAAACTCTGTTGCCTATATAGAGCAAGCATTTTCCAGAATCATTTAAGCTTGCTGTGCTGATATATTCTATTATTGTTTCTCAAATGAGTATATTGTAAATGGTTCTAGTAAATTTACCTCTATGAAACACATTGCGTAGGACCACATCAGCAACCAGCAAAAGTCGTCCAAACAAGGAAAGCGAAAAAATGTAGTATCTGCCAAGAAGAAGCTGTCCTCCTATTTGAATATTACCTCTGATAGTTTGTGGTCTGACATCCAGGAATTTGCGAAGCTAAAGTATCAGGTATCATTTTCTTTCAAGAACTTTCTTCAGTTGTTCGCCCAGATGTTTTAAGTTATTAGTCATGGTTTTTTCTTCTCTTCAGTTCGAGTTGCCTGAGGATGCAAAAATGCTCGTAAAGAAAATTCCAGTTGTACGCAATCTTTGTCAGAAGGTATGTTTCATCAAGTAATCCACTATGAGGAATTCTTACTTTTAATTGAGATTATATATTTGTTACTTTAGCTTATTTTTCCCTGCTTCCCGATATTATCTTATATTGGTCAAGCGTTATCATCATTTCAAAGTGGCTATTGCCATGTCATTGTTCATATATTGAGTTCTCTGGGATGCATTCTACTTTCTTGGCATGAAAACTTGGTTGTATTTAGTGATCTTGAGACTCTTTCTTGACTGTGCATAGAGGTAGTCCCTTCGAATCTGTGTCACCATTTTCTTGCTTTAGAGAGGGCCAACATTTTATATATACTGTTTCGTGACATCAGTTGTCTTGGTGGTGACAAGCGAAGTTGTGGAGGAAAAGTTGTGGAGTCTGTTCTTTTGAGTGTTTGACTTCTCAAGACCATGGAGTTCAAGCAGGGAAAATTTCCTTCCAGATTATGCTAATCTTGATATGGGTGGTGAGGCACAGTGATAAATTCGTGCTGTTATATGATGCAGCAGTTACATTGTTGTATGTCCATTGATTTAGAAAATTTTATTGGAATATAAATCATTAGATGGAGATTGGCACTCTACCTTGGTTATAGAGATGACTGGAGATTGTTAACTAGTTCTTGATGGGATATTGTGGTTGATGAAGATTGTTTCCCGAAGCTAGTTTTCCTCTTAGTAGTCGAGCTAAGATTAGTCAAGCATCTTTTCCTCTTATTTTATATAGCTACAAGTAATATGGTGCCTAATTTTAGGTGTAAGGAGATGAACCCACTCACTTTGATAATGAGTCTTCCCCTTGAAATCCCTTTATTGTGCTTTTTCTTGCGCAGCAGACTATTGCCCCAAGTTATGCATGGAATTCTACCTTAATATGTTTAAGTAACTCTTAGAACTTTGCTCTTAACAGGTAGGTGCGACCGTTGCAGCTCGTAAATATGACCTTGTCTCTGCTGCACCTTTTCAAGCATCAGATATTATGAATCTCCAACCAGTGGTGAAGCATTCTATCCCAGTTAGTTCAGAAGCTAAGGACCTTGTAGAAACAGGGAAGGCTCAATTAGCTGAGGTATTAACTGTTACAATTGGTGAAGAAATGGAACATGCTCATGTTAGTCATGGTCTAATGGAGATTTTGTTAGGCTAGCTGTCAATCCTTTTTTCCTTTTTAAAAAAAAATTTATTTGGAGCTTACATAGGTCGTATTTGAGACAAAACAATGACTTCTTCATGCATTTCAGGGTTTGCTTAGTGAGGCGTACACTTTATTTTCTGAAGCATTCACAATACTTCAGCAGGTATATTACTTTTTTTTTTTGTATCTGCGATCTGCTTTTGATGTCTATATCAGTTAGTTAATATCAATGTTAAAAAATGCAGGTGACGGGTCCTATGCACCGTGAGGTTGCCAATTGTTGTCGGTAAGCATCTGTTGCTCTATCAGTTCATCTTTCTATGAGAGAAAATGCTTGTGCAATGCAATCTTTGGTCATTCTATTTTCTCTCTTTGTTCTTTTCTTTTAATGATTTTTTTCTCTTCCAGCTACCTTGCTATGGTTCTGTATCATGCTGGAGATATGGCTGGCGCTATAATGCAACAGCACAAGGAACTTATCATAAATGAAAGATGCCTTGGACTGGACCACCCTGACACTGCGCACAGGCACTTTTCTTTGTCTTTGAACTCTGTTCTTCCTTGCATTTGCTAGACATTGCCTATTGTCTTACTGATGTTGACGGCGAAGATGAAAACCTGTATTTCGTGATCATTATATGATTAATAACGTGTTTGACTGCAGTTACGGAAATATGGCCCTTTTCTACCATGGTCTTAACCAAACAGAACTTGCATTGAGGCACATGTCACGGGCCTTGCTTCTGCTTGGTTTGTCATCAGGTCCTGATCATCCGGATGTTGCTGCAACATTTATAAATGTTGCAATGATGTACCAAGATATAGGAAAGATGGATACAGCACTTCGTTATCTTCAAGAAGCATTGAAAAAGAATGAACGGTTGCTCGGGGAGGAACATATTCAGACTGCTGTTTGTTATCATGCTCTGGCAATTGCATTCAATTGTATGGGTGCTTTCAAGCTCTCACACCAGGCATGTGGTTGAACTGGATAGTTTACTGCGTTAGCCAAAAGGGTATCAGCATGGTTACTTCTTTAACTGTTTTTTTATCAATTTTTATCAACAGCATGAAAAGAAAACTTATGACATACTAGCCAAACAGCTCGGAGAGGAGGATTCAAGGACACGTGATTCTCAGAACTGGATGAAAACTTTTAAGATGCGTGAGATACAGGTACAAGTTACTCAGACCTGATCACTTCTAACTCCTTGTGACACACTTATCATTCCCTTATGTGCTTTTGCAATATGGAAATCCTCAACAGATGAATGCGCAAAAGCAGAAAGGTCAATCTCTGAATGTGGCTTCTGCACAGAAGGCTTATGATATTTTGAAGGTACCTTTTAACAGTCTTGTACCTTTTGTGATCCTTCGAGGGTGGTTCCATTAAATCTCTGACATATTTGCTTACCTTAAAATTTCATCTTGTTTGTGGTTACATGGCTGTAGTGCAAACTTGGTCTAGGTGATCAAGACTTGCTTTTCTAATTTGCATTCCCTCTTCATATCTCTCTCGTGATAGTGCATGTTTAATCCTCTTTAGGACCCTCAGATCAACAATTACTATGGCATATATAGGATCTTGGCTTTTCTTTTTCCCTTTTGATGACCAACGTTGGAGAGAATTTATTAGTGGATTTTCATTCTGGGACATGATTGTGGTCGCCTTGGATTAGTTTATTATAAGTATGTCAACTAGAAAGAGGATGTTCACTGTTTTGAGTTGAATGTTGCAGGCTCATCCTAGCCTGCTACACGCATTTCAAGCTGCTGCTGGAGGTGCTGGTGTTGGTGGCATTAACCAATCATTAAGTTCTGCAGTACTTGGTGATGGGCTTCCTCGAGGAAGAGGAGTTGATGAAAGAGCTGCACGAGCTGCTGCTGAAGTAAGGAAAAAAGCTGCAGCAAGGGGTCTTCTGGTACGTCCCAGTGGTGTTCCTGCAGCGACTTTACCCCCTCTTACCCAGCTACTCAATGTAATAAACTCTGGCGCCGCGCCTGATGCTGCAAAATCTAATGAAACTAATGAAGAAAAGAAAGAAGCGAATGGTAATTCTTCTGATGGACCTGGAGGAGATGCCCAAGCAGATCATTCCAAAACACCAGGACAAGATCAAACTCCTGTTGGTTTAGGAACAGGTTTGGCGGGGTTGGATGCCAAGAAACAAAAATCAAAAGGGAAATCTGCATCTTGAAACATAGAATGCTGAATTTACTAACAAACATGACAATGGCCAGTTCGAGCATTATTATGGATTTTAGCCAACGGCAAGCTCATGCTGCAGGTACTCATCGTGTGGGCAATTGCTTATACTTGTATTCTATTCTTGCAATAATACTCTCAAGGAGATTTAAGTATTCGAGATACAGTTCCTTTCATCTTGATTGTTGCTACTGAGATTACGTAGCTTGTAGGCCTAGTTTGAGAAAATAGGTTTAGTAGGCGCATTATTTTGGTGTTCGTTCTAAATAATATTATGTAGGGAGGTTGATTCTCTGTTTGGTGCATTGATGTCATCCTGAAAATTTTGACATCAATCCCCCCACCTTATGTATACCCATTTCGTTGCGGTTGAATATGTGTAATGATCTGGTGAGTGAAAGTGCTCTTTCGTGGACAACTTTTTTTATTTCTGGTTAAAAGTTATCGTTCTATTTGTCACTTATTTGTCTTTGGTTGGCTTTAAAAGACTGAAGTCATTGTTGATTAATGAATTTTTTACCTCCTAGAAATTCCATTTTCATTGAGTGCATACACTGAAGAAAGAAATGAACTTTATCCCCCTCTGTTCAGGTTGACAAGCTCTGTGCAATATCCATGTCAAAAAGATATATTACTGTAGATCAATACGTGAAAGAGCAAGTTTGAGAAGATCTGTGAGAATTAAATATTTCCTCGTAATTTCATTTATTTATTGAATAATAAAGGGATTTTTCTTCAGCGGCCTCCTCACTTGGCTTATGCATTTGAAATGGTAAGGTCCAAAATAACACTTCTTTTGTCCCACTTTAATTGATTTTTTGACCGTTTTTATACCTATTAAGGAGTTTACCTTTTATCATTAATTAGTAATAAAATTGATCATATTAACTTTAATTTGTTTGGAAATACAACAAGTACTCCTAGGCTCTTTATTTTAAGGGCAACTTTGAAAAAAATAAGTTATTTCTTTCTTGATATTTGAAATAATCAAATATTATGAACCACAAAAAAAAAAAAAACAATTAAAGTGAGCTGGAGGGAGTACTAAATAAGGATAGAAGTTCGTTTGATATGGTAAATTCCTACTTCCATGAAAGTTTCAGATATAGTTTCACTTGTAATTTTAATTATCCTTTTTATGAAATTTAGGTCTAGCAATGTCTCAATAATAAAAAAAAAATGAAGGTTACATAAATTTTGCTACTCCTAATTACTTCAGGAAGAGAAATACTCCTGGTTATTCTGATGTGTGCATCATTCAAATTTTTTAGGCTCGTAAGCTTTAAATTTAGAAGGTTTTATTTCTGTATTTTGAGACTGTGGTCTCCCTTTTTTTTATTTAAATTTAGTGGTTTCAGATTGGATAAAAAAGAAAAGGTCTATCTAGAGAACCTCATGTTATACAACTGTACCTTAAAGATGAATAATATGGTTGTGATATATTAGGTTCCTGACTTGTATGTATTAGAATAATCTTTAGTCTTTATCCAACTAACAGAACTATGAACAACTTTTGTGAATTATAGATGAAAAAGACATCATATTTCTTGACTTGGACAGAACATAAAATACAATGCACAGGTTGATAGCTTAGTACACTCTCCACTTTGCCTAACTCTGAATAAATGAATTGTACCAAGTTTCATGTGATGGTAAAAATGACATATTTTAGGAGACTCATCTGGACATCTCAATTATCTAGGTGTCAGAGAACTCGATAGAGTTCAAACACGAGTAAGAAAAACACAGCACCAAATTCTAACCATTCTACTTTAGGGATCAATTTGACCAATTTTAGAGATTGGTTGACCTGAAGTATAGAAAATTATTACAAAATATTATTAAAATTATTTGGTTTCTTCAAAAGACCGAATTCGTCACTAATAGTTAAATAGTCAAATTTCAAATTTTGACTATCAAAATTCGACCTGTTTTTATCATCGGATAACAAGAATTGATTGTAAGAGTTAGATCTCAAATCACGCCGTAGGAAAAAAACTTTTTCAAGATACTTCTCAAAATTAGAGAGAAGCATATTTAAGGTATACCATCGCCTTTCATCCATATGGGCAAGGAAATACAACACATGTAAATTGATCCTGTGGAAACGTGAAAAACTCTTGACGAACCTTTTGATTATGGCAGATAGAGACCAAGTATAAAAAAAAATCTAAGTTTTACACACAACATCAAAATTTTGGTTAGAAAAGAAAAGGAAACCAAGCAGGCACTCTTCCCGACCTGAAATCTTACACACAACGCAGGTTTACAATTAGTTTTTTTTTTTTCATTTGGTTACGATAAACCTAACTTTCTTGCATAAGAATTCAAATATATAATTATTATTTTAATAGTATTTTGACCTAATCAATAATTCGCCAATACTTACGCCTGAGTCAACCGGTTCTTTGCTATGATCATATGAGAATTAGTGCCATCATGCAAGGCTATTATTCTCATTTCCTTCAGAAACAGTGAGTTGTTTCATATTTATATACAACATAAGTTGCAGATTAAATGCTACATTATCTCGCTACCACAATAATGATACTATAACTATCTTTCCAATCCACCTAGTCCCCTCCATCAAGCAACAATTAAATCCTCGCCCGAGGTAAAGGAAACCGATAAATGGAAATGACCAAACCCCAAAATTGCTCTGGCTATGTTTCCCAGCTCATGAGAAAAAGAATAGTAACGTGATAGTACACACTTTTGGCTCATCCCTATACCCACTAACCTAGCTCGTACTGTTCCCTCACCTAGAGGCTCCTGCTGCAGCCCCTTTATCGTATTCCCCTTGCTCCTCCTTGGCAAACTCTTCAATCAATTGGCGCTGTCTTGGTGTCAAGTTTCTGCACCCAAGTTGCAAAAATAATCATTAGAAGATCGCGGAATACAGGATAGCTTCATGAGTGTACCTTCTCCACCAAATATTTTGTTATGAGTTAATTCTGTGGCCATCAAATTATAAAACCTCCTATTTTTCTTGAGACTAGGCTGACCAAAGTCAACGGTAGTAAAAACTGCAGTAGTAGATAGTCATTTCCACATTTTACACAAAGAGCACCTACGTGGGAATGCTGACATTGAAGTGGACAAATTGATCCCCAAATGAGAAGGAATTCCGTCCTTTTATTCCTGCATAAGCACACAGAAATATTATAAGCTTGAAAGAAATAGTTTATGATGTTTCAAGAGTTAAACAAGATATTGACTCTGTGCACAACTGCACATCAAAGAAAACTGCTTGGGTAAAGCTGGGAGGTCTTGCAAACTACTCCTATGTAGAGTTATTTGTTTGTTACACACAGACCATCGCACTGTAAATTGATACAAGTCCTACTACACCTCATACTATAACTTGACAATATGGGTAAATATCCAAATCATCTGATGATCCAGTAAATTTGAGCATTCAGCAAAACAAGGAATCCTTTTTTTATAAACAAGGATTCATCAAAAGAACTAATCCAGAAGAAAAGAAACTGACTTGAACAAAGCAATTTAAAGAAACTGTTACCTTTCTTTTTGAGGACAACCTTTTGGCCAGGTTGAGTGCCAGCACGAACCTACAAACAACAGGATATCAGAATTTTGGCACATCAAGATCAATCATCGAAGGACCAAACAGTAAAATCAATTCCTCGGTTGTTCCATACGTCAAAGAACCCCTTTACATTTTAGCAATGACCATTGCCGCCCAGAAATAAACCACCAAACACTTCTCAAAACTAATATAATGCGGGTTAAGGATGATTTGAAGGCTCAAAAACTCATATTGTACTATCTTCCTGAAGATTTAACAGGTACGGTGATTGCTTAATTAACCTAGTCATAGTGCAGAAAAATAAAATTTACTTTTTACCCTTAACTTCAAGTTCGATAATTTTCTGGCCAAGTGGCATTTGGCAATTGAAGATGTACAAACAGCAGTCTCGACAAAAATAAGAACGGAATTAATAACTATCTGGATGCAGATTGAACAAGTATGGAGCTTGCTTAATTTATCCAGTCTCCGTGCAGAATATTTAACCTACTTCTTTGCCTTAAATTTCTAACTCCGGCAACTTTCTGGCCAAGAGATATTTGGCAGTTGCTGTTATAGAGGTCAAATAACCACTATGTCAGAAGATTCTTCACTAAAATAAAAGAATTGACTAGTTTGAGTGGATATTTGATAGAACTTCGGAAAATTGAAGTGATCTAGACTAGACAATAAAGTTCGTATCCTATTAGTTTACATCCAATAAATAAGTAAGGAGCGCCTTATCATCTATATTTTCACGATAATCATTTAGTTTTAAAGGGTAACAAATATTATATATCGTGCTGCTCTCACTTTTCAATTCATAAAATTCCAGGTAATGCAAAAAGTTTCCGAGCTATCTAACATTTATTATGTCTCGAGGATCTCTCTGATCCTAGAGTTCTTTTGACACCTTAAATTTTCATAGTTGCCTCCTAGAAGCCCCTGAGCAGCCCCCTATTGTTCATCTCTTCCTGCTATTTTTGTGGTGTAATCAACCATTAGCCCAAACATTTTTCTACCCTTTTCTTGTCAGTTGAACAAGATTGCCTTTTACTATGAGAATTAGACATGCTAAAATATGCAATGGGAATTTATCACTTACATAAATGTCTTAAAAGTTTAACTTGAGACCCTATCCCAACCAATTGTAGAAATATCATGCTTCATGCGGGACCACATTTTCTCTCCATTTCCAATGTGTTCTCTCTTTCTACTCTCACTTTTACCAAGTTGTAGGGACAATCAGAGTGCTAATGTCTTCAAACTTTTAAACATTCCAAGAAGGAAGATGAAGGGCAAAAGTTAACTATGATTAGCTTAGTAGTATTTCAGTACCTTAACAACAACATCTCCAGTCAGAGTTGGGACTTGGATTGTTCCTCCCAAGATTGCCTGCAGTGAAGTATTCATCAGAATCTAACCATATTACCCAGCGAAGATTCACAAAGTCGTAGATTTAGGAGCCATGACAAGAAATAATATAATTGCAAAAGTATGTGGCCTCATGTTGACAAACTGTTATGGCTACCAGATGTCCAGAAATGCAAAACGTTTTTGGGTCCCAGCATATGTTAATGTGATGAAATTTCTCAATTAGTTCCATGTGAGAAAACAATTCATACATATTAATGCAAAAAGTTTCATGTTGTATCCTCCACCCACCAAGTACGTTAGTTTCCCAATCAACATTACCTAATACTTTGGGTCATGGAACACAAACACGTTAGCAAGCCACTAATAATCTAAAACTCAAGTGACCAGGGGTAGGCTCAATATACTTTAAGAACTGTGGTAGCTCTGTGATCTTTTTGTTTGGAGGGATATGGGAACTTAAAAGGTTTATAAAGATTATTTGCATCATAAGAATAAGACTTGAAGAAAAAAAATGCAAGGAAATAGTAATTGATATGAGGATAATAACTTAGAT